GTTTTATTGATTGCATCTAATATTCTAATTTTCTGAGATTGTGGATTTGGGGTTTTCATGAGCTGCAAGCCATAATCATCACAATTATGACAAATCACGGCTTGAACTACGTTACATGCTTTGCATGTAATGAGTCTTATCTCATATATTAGTTTCACCTTTTAAGTTTCATTACTGAAATAAATGAACTTTTGCACGATATTCTAATTTTTTGAGTTTCACCTGTAAATTTGATAAAAATAAGATCGATTTAAATATTTAAAAAATCCCATTTAAATTTTTAAAAATCTGTTTTTTAATCCACCCTGATAACAGGAGTTCAATTTGACATTTCTAATGTGGGGGTGGGGGGAAGCAGGACTGAGAACAGCCCAGAGAGAAGACTTTGAAAGACAGAGACAAGAGAAGATTCAACTTCCTTCCTCTTGGGTGGAATAGATATATAGATATATACATATAAATATATTTATATATAAGGTGATGCAGGCAGATCACCGACAAACTCAAAGCAGTTCATGCTGCAAAGTGAACAGGTTAATGGGGGAAGAGGCACTTAACAAGAACCAAAAAAAAAAAAAGACAAGACCACGTCAAGGCGGGGAAACAACGAAAACGACGACCCAAAAAAAAAGGAAAAAAAAGCAATCACCGAGTGAGTGGTTAAAAACGATGACGACAACGAAAGAATGAACGAGCAGAATGAGTGGATGAAACGTTAAGACTTCAACACAAATGAAGCCAAATCAAAGCGGGCTTTTTCAACTTACCAGGAGTTTGGAAAGCTATATTAAAAAAAAAAAAAAACAGACGGGGGGAAGAGAGAGAAGAAGAGATCAGTGCCGTCTCCGCTGATCCAGGAAGGGCGATTTAAGATTTTGAGTCTTGCGTAAAAAGCAGGTTTATTTTCTGAGTGTAGAGCTGCGTGTGCAGGAAGATTGGCAAAAAAAAAAAAAAAAGGCAAATACCTAGGGAGATTCTCCGTCATCTATCAGGTTGTGCTTTTTTCAAGAGACAACTGGACTTTCCTGGAGGGGTTTTTTTTTTTTGTAGAAGAGGTTTCGCTTCTCACACGAGAAGCTTCTTCAGCTCTGACTGGATGGTGGGGAATGGAAGGATTTACGCTCCTTGCAGACAACTGGTCATTTGCACCCTGAGAGCCGTGATATCGAACCTATGGCACAAGTGCCACTGAGGGCACGTGAGATATTGTCCTGATAGCTCCAGCGTGCATGTGTGCGCTGGCCAGCTAATTTTCGGCCTTGATTTTTGGCCGTTTTTCACCCTCTGGAGGCTTCCTTGAGAGGGAAAAACCACCCAATGCACAAATCGGAAGTTCAGGAACGAACTTCCAGTTTGCGCGTTGGGCCGTTTTTCGCCCTCCCCTGGCTCATAGAAAGCCTCTGTGGAGCCTGGGGAGGGCAAAAAATGGCCCTACTGGAGGTCGGAAAATGGGCCATTTCTGGCATACGGAGGACCTCCAGGAAGGGGAGGGGGAAGGTGGATTTTTTCCCCCTCAGCCCCCAGGAGCACTTTGCAGGCCTCTCAAAGTCTGCATGCCCCGTTTTTTCAACAAAATTTTTTTTTTAATCTACCTCTTCAAAATCTTGATGCGTCTTATACTCCGGTGCGTCTTATAGTCCGAAAAATATGGTAATGTTTAACAGAATCCAGTTGAGGATTCCCAAAGTCCCACATATTTCAGGACTTACAAAGTAAGGAAAAGTTTTGCTATTCTTAAATTTATCAGGTTAATTCCAGATACAGGCAGTCCTTGATTTACAACTATTCATTTAGTGACCGTTCAAAGTCACAACGGTGCTGAAAAAAAGAGACTGACAACCTGCCTTAAGGACAGGCAGTCCTCGACTTACAACTGCAATCGAGCTCAAAACGTCTGCCGTTAGGTGAGGCATTTGCTCAGCGAGTTTCGCCTCCCATGTCATGACCTTTCTCACCATCGTTGTTAAGTGAATCGCCGCAGGTGTCAAACTAGCATCACAGCTCTTAAGTGAGTCTGGCTTGTGCAAAAGGGGATTAGAGGGTGACGCTGATGACTGTCATAAACGTGAGTCAGTGGCCAAGTGCCCGAATTGTCAGCACGTGGCCATCCAAGGGGATGCTGCAACGGTCGTTAACTGTGAAAAATGACCATGAGCCACTTTTTCCAGCGCTGTGGTAATTTCGGTCGCTAAATGAACTGCTGTAAGTCGAGGACTATACCGTACTGCTCCAGTTTACCCGTAAGTCAGGGTTTGAGGATCTTTCCTGGCCAGCCGCAACCCACCTGTCTTTGGGGTCCCAATCAGAGCTCACCTGAATATTGGTGGGATCTTTGTAGGATTCGTCGCTGGCCGTCTGGAGCTTCTCGCTAATCCAGGCCTCAATTTCGTCCACGTCTCGGCTGAACTGCTGCAAAGTTTGGGATTCTCCGAGCTTCGACCTCTTTTCGATCATCTGAGCTTTCAGCCGACGCCACCTACAAAAACCGAACACCCTCGTTGGCATCAGGGAGGACTTGCGTGCAACAAACCAAAGTAGCGGCCCAGGCCCAGCAGCCACTCTCACCTGTCCAGCACCTCGTGGCGCCTGGTGGCAATGACCCCTTTGGCGTAATGATCGGCGGCAATCAGCTGGTCGGCGAAGGACTGGAGCGCGGCGATCTTCTCCTCCTAAAGAAATAAATAAAAGGACACATTGGAAGAACGTCGGCAGTGGGGCAGAGTGCCTTCGCAGCAAAGTTTGAGCGGTGGGGAAAAAATGCGTGTAAATTCCTTATGTGTCCATTCACACTTGGCGAATAAAGAATTCTATTCTATTTCTTTTTTATGAGTTTTTTTATTTTTTAATTACAAAAATAAACATCCCATCTTCCCCGAGGCAGTGTGTCATCTGGGTACAACCATCGTTCCTCTTTTGTCACCTCTTTCACATTCATATTATCGCTATTTTCCTAAGTTTAGTATTATAATATATTGAGCATTTAAACATTATAAAACTCTCCAATTTTCTTTTTAATGTCTTCTAGTAACAATATCATATCAACACGAAACATCCTTATTCTCAACATACGCATACTAACAGTTTCCATCTTATTTATATCTCTATCTTAAGTGCATTGTCTACTTATTTTTTTAGCTTTCTTCATTAGCAATTAAGGAGAAAGAGCAAACTGAATATTATATGATTGGGAAGTTTGGAAATGATGAAAGAATTCTATTCTAGTCTTTTCCTGAAAACATGACCTGCCCTGAAAACAGGTGCTAGGCTGATTTTTTTCAGCCCTACCCCAAAAGTAAGACCTAGTTAAGCCCCACCCACCATCTGGTTCTTTGAGGTGGGGTGAGGAGGTGTAAAAATCAAGCTAGGGCAGGGGTAGAGGATTGGAAGTCGCCACATCCACGCCCCGACACCTGTTGCGCCACAGCCCAACTCCTTCTGCAGCCACTTGTGGCCGCTTACAGATGGACGCTGTGAGGCTTGTCACCTCGGCAGAGCGACTCTAGGCAGGATGTGGTGAGGCTCATTGTGCCAATGGACCACAACACTGCACACCAGTGCAACCAGCCTCGTGGCATCCTTCTGAGTGGCTCCGCTGGTGCAGCAAGACTCATGTCCTGCCGTGAGTAGCTCCACCGGCATGACAAGACCCAAGCTCCAGTGTCCCAGCAGCAGAAGGGGGGATGGGGGATGGAGAGCTTGGTCCATTGCAGCCACAGGCAAGTAGATGGTGGGAGAGGAGCGGTGGTAGCAGTGCTCCCATGCCCATAGGCCCCTGCACTCGCTGCTTCCTGCTTATTTTCCCATTATCTTCATTTTCCTTTGCATTTCTATGTCTTATATTTTGATAAACTAATAAAAACTATTGAAAGCCCTAACAAAATTGCTGGTAATCAATTTCTTGATTGGTTACGGCTCCAAAAGCAACCCCACCTGGACATTGATGGCCTTGTCGAAGTCTTCATGCTTCTTGATCAGGGCCTCCACGCTGTCCAGGGAGTCCCCCTTATCTTCGGTATTCAAGAAGGCCTCCCGGGCAGCCATCCAGTTCTCCGCCTGCTCACAGTCCCTGTGGAAGAGCTAAAGCGAAGGGAAAAACACATATACGTTGGTGAAATGTCGAGTGACGCGTACCCAATGCGTAGCCCCAGGTGGCGTGTCAATCCCGTGTGGTGGCCAATCGTCTCCTCTCATGCCACAAGCAGGGTGGGAGTTAAATGTCTATGGAGATCGGCATAGGTGGGCCTGATTAGGGTAGATTGCAGGGGAGATACAGAAATATAACTGTCAGGCCTGCAGACTTCTTTTCTTTTGGGTCTTTGGCCTGCCACACTTTCTATTATTCTACTATGCCTTTTCTATTGTGGGAAAACGGGAAGGGTTAGATACTATGTAGCCATAATAACATTCTTTCTAGAAAGCCAAGGTCATCCTTTGCCTCTGCACCTCTGTACCTGACCAGAACTGGATGGGTGGAACTGCCAGCATGCCAGTGGAAGATTGGGACTTATGGGTATGGGGGCAAGACCTTGAACTTTCAACTGGGTGGGGAAAACAGTTCAGAACTGGATCCTAAGACTGGGGCCTGTGAGGGACATCAACTTCTGGGGAAGGGCCCCTCGTCAGTCAACAGGAGCGCTGATTTACCACCAGCTTATCAAGTATATGAGCCTTGGTGGCACAATGGTTAGAGTGCAGTACTGCAGGCTAATTCTGCTAACTGCCGGCTGCTTGCAATTTGGCAGTTTGAATCCCACCAGGCTCAAGGTTGACTCAGTCTCCTGCCCTTCCGAGGTGGGTAAAATGAGGACCCAGATTGTTGGGGGCAACAGGCTGCCTCTGTAAACCGCTTAGAGAGGCACTGTGTGCCAGGCCTGCAGCCATCTTTTCTTTTGGATCTTTGTCCTGCCACACTTTTTATTATCCTACTAGGCATTGTCTATTGTGGGGAAATGGGAGGGGGGATTGTACGGAGTTAGATGATATGTAGCCATAACAATATTCTTTATAGAAAGCCAGGGTCATCCTTTGTTTCTGCACCTCTGCACCTGACCGGACCTGGATGGGTGGAACTGCCAGCATGACAGTGGGAGATTGGACCATGGGATGGACTTGTGGGTGTGTGGGGCAAGATTTTGAACTTTCAACTGGATGGGGAAAACTGGGAAGCTTTCAGATTCTGGTTTTCCCAGATATGCCAACGTGGCTCTCTTAATAAATTGGAACTTTGAGCAATACTTTGCCTTGGACTCTGATTTACTTTTGGATGCTATTTGGAACCCTGACAATAATTTCACATCATTTTATTCTATTTTACATATGTATGTATTGAATTATTGTATTTTACTCTATCACTATTGTATTTTACCCTACTGTCATTTTCAATTGCTTGTTGAGAGAGAGAGGGAGGGAGGGAGGGAGAGACCGAACACATGAGTAGCTTCGTGGATGAGAAGTGAAACAAGAATTAAAAAAAACAATCCAGTTGCCTTTTGAAAAGCACCTCTGGGAAAGGGCGGAGGCAACATTCCAGGAACTAACCTCTGCCACAAAAGGGGGAAGGGTTGGATATTTTCACCACGTGGGTGTACCTGCAATTCCAGACATTGGTCCAACATCATTCGGCGTTGGACCCAGGCCTTTTCCAAGTCTGCCCGTTCCTGGTCGAGGATGTCCAGCTTCTCCTTGATCTCGGGGCTGGCGTAGTGGCCACGGGCCAGGAGCTGCTGTCCGAACTGCTCAAACGCCTGGAAGGTGCCAGCTCTGGCGTCAATTTCGGTGCGGTGTTCCTGCAAGGGAAGGAGGGAGATGCATGGGCTCGGGTGGGCAAGATCTTCACAGGGGTGGGCAGGCAGGAGCCTGGACATAAGGGTGGGGTGCTGAGGACCTGGGGGGGGAGGGGAAATCATGGCTTTCTAGGGAAATCTGCAGCCATAGAAATCACAGTATTTAGGGAATGGCGATGCATGTTTTTTGATGCTAACTCCCAAAGACCTCTTAAGAATGACCAAAATCTTGACCAAATTTGTCCCCCATCAGCAATGGGCTGTTTCAGGCCAATCTCCTAGGCCTGGGCAGGGATCTAGTTACTTCTATGAATTCCTTGGTGAAAAAATGGAATCTCAAGTGAAGAAAAACAGCAGACTGGTGCCTAAATGGGATGCCATAGAGCCGGGGCGGGTGGCCGTGATTTCCGCTACCGGTTTAGGTCCGAAACAGCTGAATACCACCTCTGGTCGTCGACAGGGGTGGGCTGCTGGGAGTTCGGGAAAACCGCTACCTAAGATTCCGTGCACTTCAGAGAACTCCCAAATCCCACTCCTGGCTGGCCCTGCCCGCCTTGCCCCGCCCTTCCAAGGAGTCCCCATGCGGCCCATTTTGGATGCAGCTAAGTACAGGGTGCGCGCAGAGGCTCGAGGAGGGTGAAAAATGGGCGTGCCAGAAGTTTGGGAGAGGCGGAAATGGGCGTTTCTGGCCTCCAGAGCCTAGAGGAGGCCATTTTCTCTCTCCCTAAGGTTCAAGGAAAGCCTCGGGAGCCCGGAGAGGGGAAAAATGCTCCCCCTCCCACCATGGTGCAGGAGGCTGACTAGGCCACGGCCACCCAGCAACCGGGCAGTGAACCCTTGCTAAATATTTGTGAAGCCCACCCCTGTCTTTACACCCTGCAGGGAGCCTTCACGTACTTGGTGCCTCTCCAATAAGGCTTCTGCTCCCGTCACGTCCTTGGCCAGCTCATCGGAGGACACGAGGCCTCGGATCCCATTGATCCAAGACATGAGGTCCCTGGGCAGACAGGAGGTAAGAGAGCAACCCGGTTACACAAGACAGGTCTCGGGGGGGGGGGGGATCCTGAGCCTTTGCCCCCAAAACCCTGAGCCCCACCTGAAGTCGCTGAGGAAGCGCTGCAGGTCGTGGGACTCGCCCAGCTTCTCTTTGCGCTGGTTGGCCCGTTTCCCAAGGCTGTTCCAAGCCTGGTTCAGTTCGGTGCATTTTTCCTGGAGATCTTCCGATGATTCAGGGTGGGACTGGATCAGCCGCTCTGCCGTTTCTCCCAGAGAGTTGACCTGAAGCAGAGAGAGATAGGAGGAGGAGATCAGGGATGATGGAATATTTTTTGGCCCTAAAAAAAAAGAGAGAGAAGTTTTTCTACTTTTTTTTTGGGGGGGGGGGTGTTGGCTAGCCTAAAGAAAAGAAGAACTAGGGGTGACATTATAGCAGCATTCCATTATTTGAGGGGCTGNGTAGCCACAGAGGTGGAATTCAGCCAGTTCTGAGAGGTTCTGGAGAACCGGTAGCGAAAATTCTGAGTAGTTCAGAGAACCGGCAAATAGGCTGGCCACACCCCTGCTGCCTCCCAGCCGATCTTCTTTTGTTGCCCTGAACAGGAGTACGGAGCTGGAAAGGTGGTTAGTGGGGTGGGGAGGGAATGGGGATTTTGCAGTAACCTTCCCCCTGCCATGCCCACAAAGCCACATCCACAGAACCGGTAGTAAAATAATTTGAATCCCACCATTGAGTAGCCACGTTACAAGGACCATCTGTCTCTACTCTGAACAAGTCCAAAGTTGCGTTCCCCTCTTTCATTGAACAAGTCTGAACAAGTCCCCTTCTCGTGATTTTTGTATTTTTGTATCTCATGTTTTATGTTGATTGCCTTTATTTAGTATCCTATTATGATTTGTGTTGTTTGCTTATTTAGTATCCTAGGGTTATCACTGGGTTTCTGCCTTATTCTATGATGATTGTATTTTATGGTTATGATCATGATTTATCACATGTTGCTTGGATGCACACTGAGAGTTCATGTGCTGCAGACAAATTCCTTGTGTGCCTATCACACTTGGCCAACAAATTAGCCACACTTGGCCAATAAAGAATTCAATTCTAATTCTACCGGTAATTCTGCAGTTAAGGCACCCAAGACAAATTCCGTGGGAGTCTTATCACACTTGGCCAATAAAGAATTCAATTCTAATCCTAACTCTACATCCCTTCCACAGCCCTCCATCACGACTGGTCTACCTTGAAGGGAAGGCTGGGCAGGTGGGGGAAGAGAAGGGGCTGTACCTGGTGGGCAGCTACGTCTGCCTCCAGCAGGGCGTGTTTCTTCTGCAGATTCTGAACGTTGGTTAGGTCTTTGCCGTAATCGTCTGAAGCCAGGTGGCCTTCCACTTCGTAGAGCCACAGCTCAATGTCTTCCACATTGCGGTTGAATTGCTGCTGCTGGTTGGCTTCACACAACTTGATCCCTGGAAGTGAGAAGGGGAGACTTCAGAGCTCTTGTGCACTGACGAAAAGGTCTTTGAGACCCCCAGCGTTCTCCCTCCCTCCCTTCCTCTCCCTCCCTCTTTCCCCACCTTGTACCTTTCAGCTCAGTAGCTTCCAGCAGTTTCTTCCACAAGCTGATGACTTCGTTCATGCGAACGGCCACTTCATCAGAGGCGTAATGCTTCACGTCCATCAGGTTCTGCCCGGCTTTCTCCAAGGCATCGATGCGACTCTGATTGGCCGAGAGCTCGGCCTCAAACGCCTGGTGTTTCTGGACCTTCCCTTGTAGGTTGGACGGGTCCTACGAAATGGAGGAGACAAGATCAATGGCAGCTGGGTTAAGTCAACCTTGGGCACTAAGTATCACAGGAGACAGGGATGATAACAGTTACGGTAAAGGTTCCCCTCGCACATCTGTGCTAGTTGTTTCCGACTCTAGGGGTCGGTCTCCCTAGAGTTGGGCTCATCTCCGTTTCAAAGCTGAAGAGCCAGCGCTGTCCGAAGACGTCTCCGTGGTCATGTGGCCGGCATGACTAGATGCCAAAGGCGCACAGAACGCTGTTACCTTCCCACCAAAGGTGGTTCCTATTTTTCTACTTGCATTTTTGACATGGTTTCGAACAGCTCGGTTGGCAGACGCTGAGACAAGTCACTGGAGCTCACTTGGGTAGTTGGTACTAGGGATTCAAATCGCTGAACTGCCGACCTTTCTGATCGACAAGCTCAGCGTCTTCACCACTGAGCCACCACGTCTCTTCTAACGGTTAAAGTACATCAAAGCGGTGTTCCTGAATTAGTAGGCACTGGGTTCTGGAATCATTGGAACTTCCTAACTATTAGAATCCGGAAGCGTCTCTTAATATTGCGGGTAGTTCTCAACATACGGCCACAATTGAGCCCAACATTTCTGTCGCTAAGGGAAACCTTGGCTAAGTGAGATGTGCCCCATTGTATAACATTTCCTTGCAACATTTTTTGAGTGAATCGTTGCGGTTGTTAAGTTAGTGACATGGCTGTTAAGTGAATTTGGTTTCCCCGTTGACTTTGCTCGGGAGAAGACTCTGGGATCAAGTGATCCTGTAACTGTCTTAAATACGAATCAGATGCCAAGGATCTGAATTACATTATTGAATTGAATTAATCATAAGTGAGAAAAACAGTCGTAAGTCACTTTTTTCAGTGACAGGGTGGGCGTGTGCATTGCATTATGCATGCGGGTACGCACGAACATGCTTTTGGCATGCGAGGAGAAAAGGTTAGCCATCCCTGCTTTAGGCTCTTTTATTTTAAGTAGCTTCCTGTTTCCTGTTACAGTTTAAAATAGTTGAGCAGTAAAGCACATGGTGACTGTACTGTTTGCTCTGTGATGCTATATATAAACAGAATTTCTTTCTTTTTTTTTTCTTTCTTTTCCCTTCTCCCCCCCTCCTTTCTTTCCCTCCTTCTATCGCCTTTCTCTTTCTTACTCATACACACACATCCAATAATATATATCGCATTGCAGCCACACCTTGTAAGCCTCATCCGTTGCGGTTTTCATCTTTTCATTGATCCAGCTTTTCAGCTCATCCGAGTCTCTGAAAAACTGCTGCAGGTGGAAGGAGTCGGCTAGTTGTGTTCGACGCAGCATGGCCCGTTCATGCAAGGTGTTGCGACGGCTCAGCAGCTGGCGGAAGATAAGAACATACAAGCCTGAATCGACAGCAACAGTCTTTGGTTCCTTCTATTTTCTTTCAATCGCAGCCTGCAGAAAATTTCTCTCCTCCCCCCCAGACCCCAAAAAAGGTACCAAACAAAGAAGGGCAGCTAAGAAATAAGCAACATACGAGGTTGCATTTGAAACTTACAGCGTCTCTGCGGGTGGCCACGTCTTCCTTGGCATAATGATTATTCTGAATCAGTTTTGTTGCAAATTCATCCAGAGCCTATAAATTAAAAGGTATTTATTTAACTCAGGAAATGGGATATTGATTGTAACTCTTTTGAACAGCTCTACTTATTGGAAACTCTGAAGAAATAAACAAATCTCTCATCAGCATCAAGAGGTTGTGAAATATAACTCCCCGGCATGGACACAATTCAAACATCAGGGTGAGTATCCCTGTTTGAGTGGGTGGGGACAGGTGGAATTGTTAGTTACCACCAAAGGAATTATTTGAAGCGGGATTATAATCATATCCTACATCATCAATCAAAAACCAATTAAAATAAAACTGCAGGATTTATCCTTCAGTCTGAACAAAAGAACATCACACAGCTGTCACCTCAATGTCAGGGCTGCAGCCATCTTTTCTTTTGGATCTTTGTCCTGCCACACTTTCTATTATTCTACTATGGCTTTTCTATGGTGGGAAAATGGGAGGGGGGATTGAACGGAGTTAGATGCTATGTAACTAAATTATTTCCAGAAAGCCAAGGTCATCCTTTGTCTTTGCATCTCTGCACCTGACTGGAACTGGATGGGTNCTATTTTATTCTATCCCTTATTCTATTCTATTTTATTCTATCCCTTATTCTATTCTATTTTATTCTATCCCTTATTCGATTCTATTCTATTCTATCCCTTATTCTATTCTATTTTATTCTATCCCTTATTCGATTCTATTCTCACGAATCCAGAAGCTCGGAAGACAAAATAACCAGATCCCAGAGACCGACGCAGATTGGCTCTGAGACATCCACATATCTTCTCCTTACCCGACAGGCCTGGGCCTGCTCCTTCAGGGATTGGATGCTACTGCCGTAAGCGGACAAATCCGACATCAGAGCTTCATGCTTCTTGAGAAGAGCCTGAAAGGAGGAGAAAAAAAACCCCATCTTTAGACCTCTCTCGGGTGTTATATGGACCAGATCAGAAGTCCTCACGTAAGAAAATATTAGAATGTGCAGAAATGAGCTGATTAACACTGGCGATTAAGGATCAAGAACAAACCAAATATTATAGGACATGGGAATTATTTTATCAATGGTTAGAGAATAAAAATGGAAGTTGGAAAGTTGGAAGTAGTAGTATAAAGAAGAGTAGAAAATATGTTGGTAGAGATGAAAACACTATGATAATTCTTAGTATTATGATGATTGTAATGTTTAATGTTATTATTACATTTTTTATCGGAAGATATGTTAAGAGGGAAAAATGAACAGGTTCATTATGTCCAACTGTTTAAAATACTATCCTGTTTCCCCAAAAACAAGACCTGCCGGGATAATAAGCACAATTGGGCTATTGAGCACATGTGCTAATATAAGCCCTCCCCCCAAAATAAGCCAACCCCAAAAATATTGCTGCGCAGCAGCAGCCATGAGATAACCACGCTCGCCGCCTCCCGCACTTCAAAAATAATAAGACCTCCCCAAAAATAAGGCCAAGCGCTTATTTCGTGGGATCAAAAGAAAATAAGACCCTGTCTTATTTTTGGGGAAACATAGTATAATTCTAAGATTAGAGAATTGATATCAATGTGAATGATGTTGCAAATTTTTACGGTTAATGCACAGAGATATTTATACCCAGATGACACGCTGTTTAAGAAAAGATGGAATGTTCATTTTTAAAAAAAATAAAAAATACAAACTTAAAAAAAAGAAGTTCTGATGCAAGATGTCAGGTACTGAGGATTTAATAGCTGCCAGACGATGAAAGTAAGGTTGTAAACTGTAAACCGCCTCTATAAGACTCTAGTGGGTCCACACAAGTCATTTACCTCTTTAAGAGGTGTTTATATATCGGTGGCCATTAGAGGTCATTTCTCTCCCTCTCGGAATGTATCTCATTTCTCTCCTTGTGTCCGTACTGAGTAGTAAGGGATTTATCTACCATGTGTACGTCTGTATAGATTTGTATATAAACCACTATTAATTGTCTACAGGCTCTGTGTGCTGTATTGTGCTCCTGGGTTTATCTCATAATAGTCACACTGCCATGCCTGATTGGGATCTAGGGACCAAGGAGCGCACCTCGGCAGAGTCCTCATCCTTTCCGTAGTCCGTGCTCCCCACAATAGGCTCCTTCTCCCTCATCCAAGACTCGGCTTCATTGGCATCGGCGAAGTACTGCTGGGCCTGCAGAGAGTCTTCCAAATCTTGACGGCGCTGAGAAGCCTTCCCTTTCAAGGTTTCCCACTTCTGGTTGAGGTCGTTCAGCTTGACTTTCACATCTTCCGCGGCAAAATGCCCTAAGCGACAAGAAGCGTGTTGTTCTGGTTAAGTTTCAGAGGTGTGGGAAGGTGCGCAGCTTTTGCCCTCCAGCCTGGGGGTTGGGGTTTCTCCATGAGGAAGGCTTCTTCCTGCTGCCCCAAATTAACTATAGGGAGGAGGGGGTGCTGACTCCCGGAAGCTTCCCTGGACAAAGCAAGGGTGATTGGAATGGAAATGAACGGCTTTCCAGAAAAATTACAGACTACAGCACCGATCCACAAACTATGGCCCGTGGGCCGGATACAGCCCGCCAATGCAAAGTATCCGGCCTGGGGAGTGGTTGTCAGGCGTGCCTCCTTCAAAGTCCAAGAAAGGAAACCCCCAATGCCATTGTTTTAGAGAAAAGGTTCTTTTCCTGAATATGAAGTGAAAGCAGCGAAAGTAAAGCAAGATCTAACGCTAAAGGCACGAAATTGTACCTATCAAAAGTTTACCAAATCCCTCCCCCCAACAACCCCAAGCTGAATGTCCAATCTCCAGCCCCCAAGGATGTCATGTGGGGTGCATCTTCATTCATCTGGTATGCAGGGACGGTTGACCTTCACTAGACCTTAAACAAGACCATTCAGCATGCGCAGAAGAGGGCGAGAACAAAACTCCCTTCTCGACCCAAACTATCTCCTCCAGCATGATTCCCCTCCCAAATACCAAAAATCCCTCCCCTCCCCGTTACTATGGCAGCCGATAGCAAGCAAGCGATATAGAGATTGACAATTGTGGGATTCAGCTCCACCCCTTGCCCCGCCCCCTCATCATCGGCCTTATCTTCCAGCGAATATCCACTCCAGCTGCACTTCTGGTTAGTTATTTCACCGGTTGAGCTGCACTTCCGATCACACTGCTGCTGCTGTAGGGTGCTGGGGAGGATCAGCTGACTGAGGGGTGATCTCACCAGTGCAGCCACATGATCAAGGGCCGGTGGGTGAGTAGGGGAGGGGTTGCTACTGTCTTGAAAAGCAGCCCTGTTGCCAGCTTGTAAAGTAGTGCTTTAAAAGGCTTTAAAACATTTTTCACAGGCACATGATCAAGGGCCAGTGGGTGAGTAGGGTAGGGGCAAGTACAGCATGGACAAAGGCAAAATGGAATGCTACATTGGCCGTGCCCACCCAGTCACATGACCACCTAGCCACAATAACCTCATCCCCAACTGCCTATGCTTGTCTTCAACAGTGAAGGGACACAGTGCAGCCAAGAAGGCCCCACCTCCTTCTGCACCACTCTGTTCACCTTCACAAAATCACGAAGGTGGCTCCTTGTCCCGACAAAACCCTTTTTATTAGGCTTATGTGAATTCCTCTCATTCGCATCCAGCAGTCCTGACAAACAGTCTTTCAAGGGTGAGTTGACAACCACAGACCTTATCAGGCTTGGAGACCTGCCAGGCCGATATCTTCCAAACCCCATGCTGTAGCAGCAATTACTAGGCAAGAACGCAGAAACAGATCTTCACCCTAATGAGTTGAACTAATTGTCCCCTGCAAACTCCACTCCCCTTTCGCTCCTCTTTTATTCCCTATGGAAGGGGCCATTCACCGTCCCCCTGTGCCTTTACTCCTAAGTCGACCCTTGTTCCTTAGCTGTTCCCTTCTGTTGGCAGCTCTGTGCATGCGCACACTGGGAACAGGCCTCAGTTGTTCTTCTGCCCCACTGATGTCTGAGTCCAAAGGCAGCTGATAACTGCTACACAGCTCTGGCCCTCTCTCTGCCTCTGACACAGAGCCCTTGTCCGAGTCTTTCCCAGACTCCAGGACTGGCCCATGTTCCTCCCCAACCTCCTCACTGTCTGAGTCTGCTGCCAGCTCCATTGGCCGCTGGTAGGCCACAACACGCTAAGGTGACCCCAAGGACACAGATATACCTCCAAGTGGACTCAACAACCTTCTAAAAGGATGCAAAGCACCAGCTGTCTGGCGAAAGAATTTATCATCTTTGTCACATTTTAATGTTTTTTTCTTCATTTTGCCCGTTCAAATTTGTAGTTTTCATTTGACGGGTAAATGAAATAAATGAGAAAGGAGAGAGGAAGAGACGCACCTTCGTCTATCATGGAATTCCCTTTCTGGGTGACGGCCTTAATGCGGGGTTCGTGGCCAGCAATCTCCGCTTGCAAAGCTTGGTGTTTTTTCAGCAGGTTCTGGACCCCAATGAGATCTTTGCCTGCAATGAGAAAGGAAGGACGTGATCAGCAGCCATTCCAATAAAAACGGTTACAAGCCCTAAACAAAAGAAGCCACATTAGTTTGTAAACACAGGTATTTCACGGCATACGGCCCCATTTGAGCCCAGAAATTTCTGTTGCTAAGTGACACAGTTGTTAAGTGAGTTTTGCCCCATGTTACGACCCTTCCTTGCCAGTTGTTTTAGCGAATCAATGCAGTTGTTAAATGAGTAGCACGGTTGTTCAGTGAATCTGGCTTCCACCATTGACTCTGCTTGTCCGAAGGTCGCAAAAGAGGATCATGTGAGCCTGGGACACAGCGACCGTCATAAATATGAACCAGTTGTCAAGCAACCAAAGGTAAATCTCGTGACTTGGCGTCTCTGCAACAGTGATTAAGTGTAAAAAATGGTTCCAAGTCACTTTTTTCAGTGTGGTTGTAACTTTGTTTTTTTAAATATTTTGATTATAGTTTTCTTCCCTTTACATCACAGTTTCAGCTTTGCAACAACTCTATAACAGTTTATATCCACATTTTTTTTATATATACTATTATGTATACATTATATAGTTATCATTCTAGATATTTTTTTACATTTTTGCAATATCTTATCATTATATACTGTTGTGGCCCAGCAGGAGCCGTTGGAGCTGCAAACAGACTCCGACAGCAAGGGGCCTTATCAGTCAGCTCTGGAAGAGGTGGAGGACCCTGGACAGGGTTCCAACTCCGAGCAGGGAGNAATTATGAATTTAGTGGTCCCTGAGATCCAGAAGATAGGGGACCCCTGCTGTAGGCTACCCTGAATTGAGGACCCCTGCTTCAAAGAGAGCTGGAGAAGGGAAGAGATCGGAAAGGTGGGGAACCCCTGATCTAGGAGGTCGCCATCCCGACCACCTTGTTTCGGCCTCTTGAGATGGGGGGAAGGATGGAGGGGGGGGGGATTGTGCCTTACAGAGCCACGTGGCGCACGGCTTGGAAAGCCCCCCAAGTACCGACCAGTGGCACAGCGGGCCCCAATGCCCAGGCAAAGCACATCTTATGCCAAACACAAACATACCACTCAGATACGAAGGAGAGAAGGTGGGGGGAGTCAAACACAACCAATCTTACAGAGCCAAGCAAAAACAGTCCCTTTCGGGCCGAGACTGAGATTAAACTGGGGAGCCAGGCAGAAGAAGTAGAGAGGCGTGGCTTTGAATTTAACCTTAATCTCTGGGCAGATTGGACATGAGAATAACCCATCGATGACTCCTCCCACAAGCTACTCCGGAGAATAGGGGAAGGAGGAGTGTGCTTCGTGCCTGTCATGGCTGCCACTTGGGTCGTCCATCACCCACCTTCTGGAAGTCGTCGAACTTCTTCTGCAGCACCTCCACCTGTTCGAGGTCGGCCCCCACCTCCTCGTTGGCTAGAGTGGCCTCCTTCTCGTGTATCCATTGCTGCAGCTCGTTGGCCTCCCGGAAGAGCATGAATTTCTTACAGCTTTTCTCCAGCATGTCTTTACGTTTCTCTCCCAGTTCCAGAAGGGAGTGGTACCTGCAAGGCAGTGGGGCAGAAGCAGACAAAGAGGGCCCAGTCAGAGGGCACCGGAGCAGGGCGCAGTGTCACAACCAGCCCATCTCCAGAAGCTTGGGGCTTTGCAGATGGGGGGGCACCACGAAAGGCTCTATTAACAATCACAGCAGACCCAACAACGGCAAGCAGACTGCGGCGGAGAGAAAAGGATGGTTGTTACACCCCTGAAGCTCCAGACTCCTTCCCCCTCGAGGCTCCATGGCCCTCACCAGATGGGGTCCAGATGTGAACAGATCGCAACAACAGCAAAGGAATTCGGGGGAATTGTATTCCCTGGAGTGCATCTGGAGAGCTGCAGGCCAGGGGGAAGCTAGGAAAACTGAGGTCATGTACAGGTAATCCTTGGTTTACAACAGTTCATTTAGGGATAATTTGAAGTTAGAACGACACGGGGGGGGGGAGATTTAGGATTTTTCACACTTAACGACCGTTGCCGCGTGCCTAGGGTCACAAGATATGCATTCGGATGCTTGGCAACTGGGTCATATTAGCAATAACAGTAGCACTTACATACCACTTTACAGTGCTTTACAGCCCTCTCTAAGCAGTTTACAGAGTCAGCCTCTTGCCCCCAACAATCTGGTTCCTCACTTTACTGACCTTGGAAGGCTGAGTCAACCTTCAAAAGTGCTCCTGAGGACTGGGGAGGGCAAAAATGAGCAAAAAATGGACTGTTTTTTGCTCGTTTTTGCCCCCACCAACCCCTCAAAAACACTTTGCAGGTCTCTCAAACCCCCTGCATGCCCTGTTTTTCACAAAAATGAAGCGGGCTGAAGGTTTGGAAGGTCTGCAGAGTGCAAAAACTTTTTGTTTCAATTTGCCTCTTCAAAATCTTGGTCCGTATTATACTCAGAAAAATATGGTATTTATGACGGTTGCAGCGTCCCGATGTCATGTGATTCTCCTTTTGCGGGTTTCTGACCAGCAAAGTCCACAGAGAAGCCAGATTTCACTGAACAAGCGTGTTGCTAATTTAACAATTCCAGTGATTCCCTTATCAACTGGGCAAGAATCGTCATCCAATGGGACCAGACTCAATGCATTGTCTCGTCCAAGAAAATTTCTGATACTGACAGTGAACTGATCATGGTTGAAAATGGAAAGAGTGGAATATAGAAAAGGGAGATAGAGGGACTGGAACTCTACCCCAGATTTCAAAGTATAGAAGAAGAAAAGAGAGAAGAATTGAGGGAACTAAAGAGAGAAATTTTGTCAGAAGCACTAGTGATAACCAAAGATAACCTGATCGAAGAAGCAGAAGGAGGGTTTTGAACTTGTGCAATAAGCAATAAGTTGCGAAGAGAAGTCCAGGAAATAACTACTAAGGATAATTATTAAGGAAATAACCAGAATACTAATGCCACAAATGGCAAAAGACATAAGACTGCACTATTACTGGAAAGACACAAGTTGATGTANAGTAAAGGCACAGATGGACGGTAAATGGCCCCTCCCGTCGGGAATAAAGAGGAGCAAAAGGGGAGTGGAGCTTGCAGGAGACTATTAGTTCAGTTCGTTAGGGGGAAGATCTGTCCCTGACTTCTTGCCAAGTAATTGCTGCTACAGCGTGGAGTTTAGAAGATATCGGCCTGGTAGCTCTCCAAGCCTGAGAAAGGCCTGAATCCGTGAAATCTCTTGAAAGACTGTTGCCAGGACTTTGCTGGAGAGGAATTCCCTTTAAACTAAATAAAAGGGATTTTATTGGGATGAGGAGTTGGCATCGTTCTTTTGGGAAGCCTAGTTTCAGAACAGGTACAAAACCATGTTGGGTTATAAGTCAAGTTATAAGATTAAATACCTAATCAAGTGTGTCTTGTTTGAAAAACCAGGGAGGGTTATCTTTCTGAATTGTCAAGCAGCAAGTTCTGATGAATAATTTAATTGGTTTAATGACCTGGAACCAATTATAGAGGCTATCTTTTAATGGGGCTAACCCATGAAAATCTGGGCCATGTAACAAGGGATAGCTTAGCTCAATTAGTGAAGGCTTTAAAAAGTAACTTTGATGGTGCAATCCTCCACTCTAGGGGATTTAAATTGGATAGGTTCTCAAATACATGGCTGTAACTAATAGCAAACGGGAAAAACGTCTCTATTGTAAGTGTTTTATTTTTTAAAAGTACCATATTTTCAGGCTATAAGATGCACCAGAGAATAAGATGCACCAAGATTTCAAAGAGGAAAACAAGAAAAAGAATAGTTTTTGCCTTCCCTGGCCCCCCAGTAGCACTCTGTAGGCCTCCCAAACTCTCTGTACAACCCATTTTTGCAAAAAAACAGGATGCACGGGGTGCGATTTCAAGAGGCCAAAAATGGCTGTATTCAATGTATAAGACACACTAACATTTCCACCCTCTTTTTTTGGGGGGGGGGGAGTGTGTCATACTCTGAAAAATACGGTATTTCTTTTTTAAAAAGTGGTATGAGGAACAGTTGTTGCTCATCACTCCAGGGAAATCGATAAACCCAAAAAAAGGCTTACCGTGATTTTCTCTTCTTGGGCGCTAAGTGACTTCTCAAAATCTTCGTGCTTCTTCAGCAGGGCCTCCACGCTGTCCAAAGAGTCCCCAAGATCTTCATTGAGCAAGAAGGCCTTGGAAAGAAAAGCAACATGACATCAGAAAAGGGCCAGATTTAGCAAACCGGACAAGGCGGCTGTGGAAGACGGACAACAGAAAGGCTGTTTGGGTAGAAGACCAGACTATCCTGATGGAAAAGAGGCACAAGACCTGGAGATGGTCACCAGAGCCCCCAGGGGTTTGAAAAAGAGCCTGTTAGGTTTCCGAAAGACACCCTAATTGATTCATGAGCCTTCAGCCAAGTTTCAAAAGAAAACCAGACACTTATTAGGAGCACCATTTCGGCAATACCTATTGCAGTTAGATCTAAGCCTCATTTGAATTACAGCTGAACTTTGCCCGTTTCTTCCCTCCCCTCAGTCTGTGTCATAAATCACATTCTCCAATGAGGTGCACCCCTCCCAAGCCTGCTGTAGTAATCTGAGATCCGACTCTAGCTGAAGGGATGTGTGGAATGCGCTTCCCCCCCCCCCACACTTTCCTCACCATGGCAACTTTATGAGTTGACATAACCAGGAAGAAAATATGACCCAGTGCAAAAGGTCTGTAAGCAGGGGTGGGATTCAGCCGGCCCACTTCCCCCTGACCTTTATTTACTCTTTATTTACCTATATCCTCTCAGCTGATTTGCGCGGCAGAGCAGCCGCGCCTCAGCTATGTTACTCCCCAGAAGTAACATGGAAGGTAAGTCTTGTTAAAACTGGGGATGCGTGCAGAGCGCACGGGTGCGAAGCAGGCGATCACCGTACTGGTTGTTAAACCAGCAGGATCCCATCACTGTCTGTAAGTCACTTAAGGATGCCAGGCCTGCAAAAACTAGCAGGTTGGCCAAATTATGTTCACCCACAACATCTCAGAACTGCCTCAGCCCGATCTATACAATGCAATAGCAGAGTTGGAAGGGGCCTTGGAGGTCTTCTAATCCAACCCCCTGCGCAGGCAGGAAACCCTATACCGTTTCAGACAAACGGCTGTCCAACATCTTCTTAAAGGCTNGACAGTTATCAGCTGCCTTCAGAGTCAGACATCAGTGAGGCAAAAGAACAGCTGGAGCCTGATCCCAATGTGCGCATGGGCAGAGCTACCAAGAGAAGGGAACAGCTAAGGAACAAGGACCGACTGGGAGTAAAGCCACAGGTGGATGGTGACTGGCCCCTCCCAGAGGAAATAAAAGAGGAGCGAAAGGGGAAGGGAGTTTCCTGACTCCTTGCCAAGGAATTGCTGCTACAGCATGGCATTTTGAAGATATCTCCAAGCCTGATAAAGGTCTGAAGTTGTGAAATCTCTTGAAAGACTTTGCTGGAGAGGAATTCCCTTTAATCTAAATAAAAGGGGTTTATCGGGACAAGGAGTCTGTGCTTCATGATCTTGGGAAGCCTAGGTCAGAATAGCGCCTTCCTGCAGCCACCCAAATCTCAGCGGCTTCATCCACACCTGAGGAGGCCCTTACCTGCAGATTCGAAGGGTCTTTGTAGCTTTCGTCAGAGGCGATCTGCAGCTTCTCCTGGATCCATTTCTCCAGCTCGTCCGCATCCCGCTGGAAAAATTGGAATCTGTAAGAATCCTCAAGCTTCTGGCGCCTCAACGTGGAAAGCTCCTTAAACCGGTGATACCGATCCAAAACTTGTTGACGTCTCTCCTGGATGTCCTCGGCTGTTTCCAGCACTTTTACGCCGGTGGGATCCATTCTCTGAAAGGCAAAAGACAAAATCGGTGAACACCAGGGGATAATAAAGGGAGTCCTCGACTGAAGATCCCCAGAGAGCGGCCTAAAGTTCTGTTGGCCAAAGCAGACATTTGTGAAAGCGAGCTGTGCCCCTCTTTTTACGACCTTTCTAACCGCTGTTGTTAAGTGAATCGTTGCAGCTGTTAAGTGAATTGGAGTTTCCCTCCCCCTCGCTGACTTTGCTCATCAAGAAAGCCGCAATCAGGAATCTTGTGACCTTGGGATACGGCCACTGTCATAAAAATGAGTTAGTCACCAAGCGTCTGAATTTTGATCACGTGACTGCAGGGGAGGCGGCTACGGTCGTAAAGTCACTTTGTTCCATGTCTTTGTAACTATGAACGGTCTCTAAGTGAAGTGTTGTAAGTCGAGGACTACCTGCACCTTTGACTGCAGTTCTTAACCGCCGTAGTTGTCACTCCCTATGAACAACTGAAGGCCCCAACTGCATTGCAGTATTTTTTTTAAAAAAAATGTTTGGGAAGAGAGGGAGAGAAAGGGAGAAGCAAAATTCCGCTTTTTTAACGCTGTTAATTTAAAGCACAAGTCACGTTTTACAAATCTTGCCTGCCTGGTCAAGTCATCACCCCAAAGCCCATACCTGTTGTTGTATGTTATATGTATATGTTACTGTATGTGTTCTGATGGATGCCCTAATTAATTCATGAACCTCGAACCAAGTTTCAAAAGAAATCCAGTTATTTATTAGGAGCAACATGGTAGCACTTCCCCGAGTGGAGTCAGCTCTGTCCCACGCGATTTACGGCCCAACCATGACCCCATTTCCCCCCTCCTCCTAGCAGGTGTCATAAATCACATTCTCCAACGGAGCATTTTTGTGGGCTGTAGAAAACACACCTCTCCAGCTGGCTCTGGTAAACTGGGATACAACTGGAGAGCAAGCCAGGAGTGCTTTACGAGTTGACAGTATGCTGCTGTTATGTGGTAACTTTTAAAGGTAAAGGTTCTGTGCTAGTTGTTCCTGACTCCAGGGGGCCCTGCTCATCTCCATTTCAAAGCCGGAGAGCCAGCGCTGTCCGAAGACGTCTCCATGATCATGTGGCCGGCTCAATGCCCAAGGCGCACGGAACGCTATTCCCTTCCCACCAAAGTTGTTCCTATTTTTCTACTTGCATTTTTTACATACTTTCGAACTGCTCGGTTGGCAAAAGCTGGGACGAGTCACAGGAGCTCACTCCATTACACCGTGACCCGTCAAAACCGCGCTCGACTAAACCGCGTCGCTGACGTCATCAACAGGGTGATAACAGCCAGCGCGGAGAAAGAAGGGTGCTTTAAATAGCGCTTTGAAAGCAAGCCGATTCAATTTAAGGTAAGGGTTAGGNATGGCACTTAGAATTATATACCGTTTCACAGTGCTTCACAACCCTCTCTAAGCCATTTAGAGTCAGCTTCTTGCACAATCTGGGTCCTCATTTTACCGACCTCAGAAGGACGGAAGGCTGAGTCAACCTTGACCCTGGTGACGTGAACTGCTGGCAGCCAGCCGTCAGCACAATTAGCCTGCAGTACTGCATTCTAACCACTGCGCCACCACAGCTCAATGCTCACCAAATGCTGCGAGGCCTGAATTTAGAATTGTAAGGCAGGAACCAAAATATTGGCACAGTCAACAGGCTCTAATGGAAGGTGAAGTGAGAGAGAGAGAGAGAAAAAGAGAGTACAGGGAAAACACCGCCCATCAAGCAAACACTTGCAAAAACAAGACAACCCCTCCCCTTTCTAATTGGCAACAGTCCTTGTTCTGGAAACAACAATCAAAGCCGGATTAGAGAGGCCTCTCTCTGGAATGCAGGCAGGTTTGCTGAAGAATATAGTACTGTATTTTTTGGAGTATAAGATGCTCTGAAGTATAACCTAACTTTTGGGGAGGAAAACAAAACAAATCTACCTCTGCCTCCCAGCAATTTGCCTCCTTGCAGCAAACAGCAAACAGCCTGTTTTAGTTTCAACTTCAGCACAGCCTGATTAGCACAAGCAGCTGATTGTCGGTTGGATCGGCCTCCCGACATCAGCTGTTTCAAGCTTCAGGGATTGCCATTGCCTATTGCCACCTCTGCGGGCCCCATTTTTAGCCTTCGCATGCCTCATTATCCGCCCGTTCTATATAGCGGGGATTGGAATGGGCGGAAAATGGGGTGTGCAGAGGCCAAAAACAGGGCATGCAGAAGCGGCAATAAGTATTGGCAATCCCTGCAGCCTAAAACAGCTGATGGTCGGGACTCCGATCCAACCGACAACCAGCTGTTTGTGCTAATCAAGCTGTGCTGAAACTGCAACAGGCTGTTTGCTGTTTGCTGCAAGGAGGCAAATTGCTGGGAGGCAGAGTCCAAAGGGTGGGGGCCGTTGGGTGAGCACGACTACATTCGGTGTATAAGACACATCCAAATTTTCATCCTCTTTTTTTGGGGGGGAAGTGCATATTATCAGGGGTGGGTTCTGACACTCACTATTGCCGTCTTGCTCATGGGCGTGCCATGCGTGTGCGCGCTTGATGCACACTGCAGAATAAAAATTGTTCTGCACATACACAGAAGAAAAAAACCAAGATGGTGGCGCAGATGGCGCGTCTGGAGAGCTAGTTCAGGGGCGTGGCAGGCCTGGGTCGTCACTGGTTCCAGGGACCCAGGCCTCCAAGAACTGCTACAGGTTCAGCCGAACCGGTAGGAATTCACCACTGCATCTTATACTCTGAAAAATACAGTATATACTTTTGTACGTTGTCACAGTAAGTTGCTCAAAAGTGGAAACACAACAGAGTTGGAAGGGGCCTCAGAGGTCTCCTAGTCCAACCCCCTTCCTCAGGCAGGAGACCTTATGCAGCTTCAGACAAACGATTGTCCAATCTCTTCTTGAACACCTCAAGTGAGCCATTGCTTGAGCTTGAGGGTCTCAATTTCCTCCCGGACAATCCACACAGCGCAAGAAGAAATGTTTCTGGCTAAAAACAAATCAGCCACCAAAACAAGGTTTCGGAAGGTTCCCCGCATTCTGACATTATATTTCGGGGGAGGGGGGATCGAACAACGCAAATAGCTCACATTTTGGGTCTGAAAAAAGGATGAGGATTTTTTTGGGGGGAGGGCTCCCTCCTACTCTGGGTAATAATATTCAGGCAAGTGTTAAAAGGGCACACAAGAGCTATATGATCTGGGACTATTATAAAGCCATTTTGGACCCTTAGCAAGGCCAGGAAACTCAGGATAGGCAAGGATAGCAATATCCCTTAAACTTATATACCACTTCTCAGTGCTTTACAGCCCTCTCTAAGTAGTTTTACAGAATCAGCCTCTTGCCCCCAACAATTTGGGTCCTCATTTCCTTCCTTTTGCTCTTCCCCTTCTATCACTTCAGGTAACAAACGGGATGCAATGCTCTGGCTCTTCTGGGGCGGGGTGGGGGGGTGGGGGTGTCTCAACCATTGTTAATTGATGCTGTTGTGTGTCTTTAAGGTAGTCTCTCCATCTTCTTCATTTTTTCTTCTTCTCTTCCTCCTCCTTTCTTCTTCTCTTCTTCTCCTTTTCTTCCCTTCCTCCTCTTCTTCTTTTCTTCTTCTTCTTCTCCTCCTCCTCCTCCTCCTTATCATGAAAGCACTATTTGCTGTTTTTATATGTAGTTTAAGACTGGTTCCTGGGGAGTCACCATCCCTGATGAAGTTTGGACAGCAATAGACTCCTATCCCACTTCCCCATGCTTTCCAGCCCTCTCTAAGAGGTTTACAGAGTCAGCCTCGTCCCCAACAATCTGGGTCCCCATTTTACCCACCTCGGAAGGAGGGAAGGCTGAGTCAACTTTGAGCTTGGTGGGATTTGAACTGCAGGCAGTTGGCAGGCAGCAGAAGCAGACACTCTAACCACTGCGCCACCAAGGCTGTCTCTTATGATTTGAGATTGTTAAGGCGTTGAGATTTAAGAGCTGACGAAATGTACGGCTGATGCAATGAAGAAGACTCAGCATTGATATAGCCAGTTGAAGACGATGAAGGGGTCCCCGAAAGTCTTGACCACTTTAGGAGGTGCTTATATAAGGCAGCCAGGAAAGGGCATATTTCTCTCTCTCCTTGTGTCCAGGATCCATTGCTAAGTTCTCCGTGTAGAATTAAGAAGATGATTGATGACTTGGCAGTTATTTGCTAGCAAGTATATTTCTATATATGTTGTACATAAACCTCTGTGAAATGCTCAGGTCTCGCTCTGACGGAGATTCAGGTGAAGTCTCATTTCAATAGCAATAGCAATAGCAATAGCAATAGCAGTAGNCCTCCTGATTGTGAGGCTGTCAGGCCTGCAGCCATCTTTTCTTTTGGATCTTTGGCCTGCCACACTTTCTATTATTCTACTATGCATTTTCTATGGTGGGAAAATGGGAGGGAGGATTGCATGGAGTTAGATGCTATATAGCCATAACAACATTCTTTCTAGAAAGCCAAGGTCATCCTTTGTCTCTGCACCTCTGCACCTGACCGGAATTGGATGGGTGGAATATGTCTTCGTGGCAGTGGGAGATTGTGATGGACTTGTGGGTGTGGTGGCAAGATCTTGGACTTTCAACTGGGTGGGGGAAACCGGGATGCTTTCAGATTCGGGTTTATCCAGATGTAACAACATGGCTCTCTTCATAAATTGGGACTTTTGAGCAATACTTTGCCTTAGACTCTGATTAAATTTTGGATGCTATTTGGAACCCTGACAGAGGCGAGAGCTCCACCTCTGGGCCATCACACCACTCTATTCTTTACGAATATACTGGAAATAAATTAAGGTTACAGCTGTAACTGAGCAAATATGATTATAACATAACAGATGTTTGGAGATCTTGCTCAAAAAAAATATTTTTGTCACTGAAACAATCAAACCAAACTGGATCTTGACGACTACAAAAAAAAAGAGAATCAGTAAGAATTGATTCAAAGAGCTCTTTGTTCACTATGGACACAAATCCTTGCAGTTCTTTTGTGGGATTCTTTCAGGTGATTGAAAACAAAAGGTAAAGGTTCCCCTCGCATATAGGTGCTAGTCATTCCCAACTCTAGGGGGCAATGCTCGTCTCCGTTTCAAAGCCGAAGAGCCAGCGCTGTCTGAAGACGTCTCTGTGGTCATGCGGCCAGCATGACTCAATGCCAAAGGCGCACGGAACCACCAAAGGTGGTTCCTATTTTTCTCCTTGCATTTTTGACGTGCTTTCGAACTATGTTGGCAGAAACTGGGACAAGTCACGGGCACTCACTCCGTTACGCAGCACTAGGGTTTCAAACCGCTGAACTGCCCATGTTTCTGATCGACAAGCTCAGCATCTTAAGCCACTAAGCCACAACCAAGCGTCAATCTTAGCCACTGAGCCAAAACCAAGGCTTAAAAAAAGGATCTGCTCGGGCCAGGGTTGCCTCATCAGCCCTTTACAAGCCCAGCGGCACCCACCTTGTCTTCCAAAGCAGCCAGATCTCTCTCCAAGCCCTCATGTTTGCGAAGCAAAGCCTGCACGCTCGCAAGGTCTCTTCCGAAATCATCCGAAGCCATCAGCTGCTCTTTCTCCTTAATCCAACTTATCGTTTCGTCCACATCTCTGTAAATACACACTGGCATCAAAGTAGGGCCTTTCCCACACTTCTCTGCTTTTGGAAGGAAGGTTGGTTGCAGGCAGCAAAAATTATAGTCCCTCTGTGGCTTAAGTTATATCCAGAGAAAGGACTTTATGAGGGAGAAACAGAAGGGGACAAACTCATCTGGCTACCGTTACTTTCTCCAACACCTGCAGTGGTTGACTTTATAAAACATATAGAGAACGGTTGCAGGATTACCCAAGAGACAAATTAGAGACAATATGCAAATTATATTGAATACATTAGAATATTACGAAGTACACCCTGGGAAACAAATGGCATTGTTATTTTGGGATGCACAGAAAGCTTTTGATAATGTAAATTGGCAATTCATGATACTGCAACTGCAAATGATGGATTTTGGGGAGGGGTTTATAAATATGGTTAAACTATTTACAAAGAACAAGCAGCTAAAGTGATGGTAAATGCAGATATGACAGAAAAAGTGCCGATTAGAAAAGGGACCAGACAAGGGTGCCTGCTATCTCCACTATTATTCATATTAACACTACAAGTTTTGAATAGAAAGATAAGACAAGATAAAGATAAAAAGGAAGAATATAAATTGCAAGCATTTGCAGATGACTTGGTGTTTATTATTGAAGATCCAATAGAAACAGGTCCAAAAGTACTAGAACAAACAGAAGAGTATGAAGGAGTGGCAGGATTAAAAATAAAGATAAAACAAAAAATTTAGTGAAAAATATAACAGAAAAACAGAAAAGAGAAATAATGGAGAAATTAGATATTCAAATAGTAAAAAAAGTGAAATATTTGGGAATACAGTTGACCTCAAGATGTGTAACTATTAAGGAAGATAATTATTATAAACTAAGAAATCAAATTGAAATGGATATAGAGAAATGGAAAAACTTACAGTTATCACTAATGGGTGGAATAGCGGTAATTAAGATGAATNTACTGGATGATATTGGGAAGAGCTAATGGAATGCCATTATGTGGTTTTGCTTTAAATCTGGAATACTTTATATAAAAGGACATAAAAACAATTATAGTCAAATGAAGGTTGAGGTATGATGATAGTAATATATATATATATATATAAATATATTTGATATAAAATATATGACTGGATATGAATTGTAGGTGAGGATTATGGAAGGGATTCACGGAGGTTTTTGTAACCAATCAACACACTTTCTACAATTTGTAATGGAAGATGGTTTTATGGGTTTTTTTGTGTGTTTTGTCTGTTTGTGTTTATTCAAAAATTTAAAAAAATCTTTATACAAAAAAAATGCATTGTCTCGCTGAGTAACATTAAATTTGGGCTCAATTCTGGCCGTAGACCAAGGACTACCTGTACCCGCTGGAGAGCATCCCACTGGGAGAAGTCAGACCAAATGTAAAAGAACCGGCGTCAATGAATTGTCCCCGTCCCCCTCCCCCCGTTTTACACCAAAGAGACTATTGAGCCACTCAACGTCTACGAGAAATAGGAGACACTGCTCTTTTTCAAACACTTCCTGAAGAGCCCTTGGATTCGAGAGAGGCCCGTTCAACTGAACACTCCTGAGAGAGGGCTAACCCCAGGCAGGCAGAAAGACAGGAAAAACAGCAGCTACTTGAGAGACAGCGTGGTTTAACGACGGCTAGGCCTACTCACAGTTCTTCCACCTGTTTCATACGCAGAGATACGCTGCCGATCTCCTTAGTAAGGAAAGTCCTGCACAGATGAGAGAGAGAGGGAGCACAGCAGAAAAAAGCATGCACAAAATTAGTCTGATTAACAAAAAAAACGAAGGGAAGGGAACACAAAAACAAAGGGCTCTTGGGGAAAAGGATGGAAAAGAAGAGGACACTTCAAGTGGGAAGAACGGAGGTGGGCGGGGGATAAGGGGGGGAACACAAACACACACACACACAAAACAGGCACACAGATATCAGGGCAGCGTGAAGAAAACCGGGGCGTGATTACAGAGACCCGATCATAGAGTTCGGTTCCCATTCGGTCAACAGAAGGCAGGGTTTTTTAAAAAAATACCCTGTTTCCCCGAAAATAAGACCCCCCCAGATAAAATAAGCCCAATTGGGGCTTTTGAGCGCATGCGCTAAAATAAGCCCTCCCAAAAAATATTGCAACAGAGCAGCAGCTATGAGGTGACCACGCTCGCTGCCTCCTGCACCTCAAAAATAATGAGACCTTGAAATTGAAAATATGAATGTATATTATAAATTAATGGGAATTCTTTGTTCCAATCTCCACTTTTTCTCCTTAGAGATAGGCGATACCATAATACTTTAAAGATTCATTGTTATTTGATAGATAATTATGAATTTAAGGAAATAAGGATTGTTACAAATGAAATAATATTAATGGTATTTTGAACACATAATGCTCAATGACAGTGAAATATCCAGTTATGTTTAATGTAAACCAGGGATATTAATCCTAAGGTTAAGAATTGATGCACAAAAACTTGTAACCAAATGACATGCTTGATGAAAAGTTGTTTTTTTTTCTTTTCTTGGTTTGTTTTGTATGTGTTGTTTTGTTTAAAAAGAATAAAAATATATTTTTGAAAAAATAACGAGACCTCTCTGAAAATAAGGCCAAGGGCTTATTTCGGGGGCCAAAAGAAAATAAGACCCTGTCTTCTTTTTGGGGAAACACGGTAGGCTAATGAGGACAAAAAGCAGTTGAGTCTCAGGTTAGGAAGAAAGGGATTAAAAAATAAAAAAGAGGAAGGCGGGTGATTTTTTTTCAATGGAACTGATTGTGGGGAAAAAAGCAAGAGCCGGCATAGAAACTTAGGGAGGCTGGTTAAAATCCGTCTCGAGAGACTAGGGTTGATTCCTAATCTGGTTAGGCCGAGTCTTACTGGTTATCGATCTGTTCTTGGCGCAAGGCGATGCTGCCCTGCTCGTCTAAGAGGTTCTCGCGGGAGGTGGACTGCGCCGGGTCGAGCTTCTTCACGTAAGCTGCCGGCACAAATCCCTGACGGTCGTTCACTTCCACTTTCCACCAATCCTGCAGAGGGAGGGAGGAAAAGATAATAAAAAAATAAAAAGGAAATAAAATAGGGAAGGGGGGGAAAGGAATCGGCCTTGGTCGTGTTCTGGACTTATGGAAAAAAGAGGTGTGCGACTCATTGTTGTCACCCACCCAAAAAACGTAGAAAGGGGATGAAGAACATAGCTGGGACTGACAAAGGAGAATATTTGTAGCTCGGGGCTTGGAATGAGAAGTCCTTTGTGCTCTCGGAGGGTCATGGTTTTCTTGCAGGCGTTTCGTGACCCAACTAGGTTACTTCATCGGTGGTAGAAGAGTGTGTGTTTGTGGAGAGTAGGAAAAGGAGAAAGAGGAGGAGGAAGAAGAGGAAGAGAAGGAGGAGGAAGAGGAGGAAGAGGAGAAAGAGGAAGAGGAGAAGGAGGAAGATGAAGGAAGAGGGGAGGAAGAGAAAGAGGAGGTAGAAGAGGAGGAAGAGAAGGAGGAAGAGGAAAAGGAGGAAGAGGAAGAGGAGGAAGAGGAAGAGAAGGAAGAGGAGAGGAAGAGAAGGAGGAGGAAGAGGAGAGGAAGAGAAGGAGGAGGTAGAGGAGGAGGAGGAGGAGAAGAGGGGGAGAAAGAGGAGGAAAAGAAGGAGGAGGAGAAGGAGGAAGAGGACTGGGGGGGGGTCCTTGGTGCTCTCTAAACTTGGTTGTTTTCTTGCAGACATTTCATGAGCTTAATTAGGTAACATCAGCACTGCTAGCCTATTACAGTACTATAGCACTGATTGTGTCCCCTAGTTGGGTCATGAAACATCGGCAAGAAAACAAGCAAGTTCAGAGAGCACCAAGGACCGCTCATCGCTGGAATGTCTGGAAGGTTTTGTGGCTGGTTCAGAATTCCACAGGATTCGGCTCTTACCTTGTTGGTGCTGTTCAGGAGAGTCAGGATGTCCCCCTTCTTCATTGTGACCTCGCGAGGACTCTTCTCCTGGTAGTCGTAGAGGGCCAAGACCAGCTCCTTACCCGTTTCGTCATCTGTAGGCGCCACTTGTTGCTGGAAAAGAGAAACAGTTCCTTAGGCTCAATTATTGGACGGAGGATGGATCCTTGGACTTCGGAGCACCCCAAGATGGGTGTCCTATTCTCCTGGTGGCTGGAGCAATTGGTCAGTTGAATTCAGAACTGGATCCTAAGACTGGGGCCTGTGTGTCCAATCACACTTGGCCATTAAAGAATTCTATACTGTTCTGTTCTATTCTATTGTATTCTATCCCTTATTCCATTCTATCCCTTATTCTATTCTACCCCTTATTCTATTCTATCCCTTATTCTATTCTATCCCCCATTCTATTCTATCCCTTATTCTATTCTATCCCCCATTCTATTCTATCCCTTATTCTATTCTATTTTATTCTATCCCTTATTCTATTCTATTTTATTCTATCCCTTATTCTATTCTATTTTATTCTATCCCTTATTCGATTCTATTCTATTCTATCCCTTATTCTATTCTATTTTATTNTATTCTATGTCTATTTTATTCTATTCTAAGTCTATTCTATTCTAAGTCAATTCTATGTCTATTCTATTCTAAGTCTATTCTATGTCTATTCTATGTCTATTCTATGTCTATTCTATTCTAAGTCTATTCTATTCTGTCTATTCTAATTCTATTCTATTTATATTCTAATTCTATTCTATTCTGACTATTCTAATTTCTATTTTTATTTCTATTCTAACGTTTTCGTGTAAAAACTCAGGAAGACATTTTTAATTATGTTGACCCAACTGGTCAAGCTGATACCTGTTAAAACGCTGCACCTCGGCGGCTCCGAAGAGCTTCCCCTGCCTCTGAAGGGCCAGTCCCTTCAGCCGCTGCCAGCTCGTGTTGACTTCATCCTGCTTGGACTTAATCAGCTCCTCTTCCGGGTGCTGCTCCTAGAAAGGGGAGAACAGAGAATCTTTGGGTGATGCTTTGATGATTTCAAAGCAACAGCTACTGTTTTGTACCCAAACTCGACCGTTCCACAAAAGGGCTATTTTTCATGGGGTTATACCAGAATTTGTTGCCCCTTCCATCCATGCCCTAGAAATGTTTTGGACTTGGTGTCAACTGTCCAACTAGTGAAGCCAAAATCAAGAAATACTCTCGCGAGTTTTGAATTCCCCAAAGTAAAAGCTTCATTCGATACAGCATATTGGTACTGAAGAAACGAAACCAGTTTTGGTTTTCCCATGCAAAGGCCTGCCTAGTTAAAACGATGGCTTCCTTCCCCACCCCTGAGTGAGCACATTGTCTAATTAAGGGACATTCCATTTGTTATGGGAACAGTCCATCTCTTTCTCCAACACCTGCAGGGGTGACCTTTGAAGGTTTCCAGGCTCTCACAATCTCCGCATAAACTTTCGGCATTCCATTTCCCCCTTCCCTCTTCACCAGTCCATTGGCAAATTGAAAACCATTAAGGTTTGAAAAAACAAAGAGGTTCAAGCTTGCCACTTGCTTACAGAGCTACTATCAGCTCTGACCAAGGCTTCCCCAGCAGCATGAAGCCGAGTCCTCACCCCGATAAACCCCTTTTATTTAATTTACAGTGAATTACTCTCCAGCAAAGTCTTTCCTCTCCCACAGTCTTTCAACATAGTTAACAATTACCGACCTTGATCAGGTTTGGAGAGTGGCCAGGCCGATATCTCTCAGACGCCACAATATTTGGCAAGAATGCAGGAATGAACTAATTGTCTCCTGCAAACTCCATTTCCCTTTCGCTCCTTTTTTATTCTTTATGGGAGGGGCCATTCACCGTCCACCTGTGGCCTTATTCCCAAGTTGACCCTTGTTCCTTAGCTGTTCCCTTTGTCTGGCAGCTCTGTGCATGCGCACACTGGGAACAGGCCTGTTGTTCTTCTGCCCCACTGATGTCTGAGTCCAAAGGCAGCTGATAACTGCTACACGGCTCTGGCCCTCTCTCTGCCTCTGACACAGAGCCCTCGTCCAAGTCTTTCCCAGACTCCAGGACTGGCCCATCTTCCTCCCCAACCTCCTTACTGTCCCAATTGGGGGGGGGGGGCGCACACCACCATCCCCCCCCCCCGAGTTTGTGTTCTCTACCTGCCTGGATTCACCCACTTCAAATCCTTAAAGTGCGGGAGGAGGAGAGAGGAGGAGTGGGGGGAAAGAGCGGGGAAGAAGAAAAGGAAGAGGAGAGGAGGAAAGAAGAAGGCAGAGAAGGGAGGTTGAGAAGGAGGAGGGCTGTTGCAAAATAAGATGGAGGTACAGGGTGGCAGGAAAGTGACCCCAACTGTGTTTTCTATATTTATAAGAAGATAGTAATAAATGTTAATAGATAAACGTCAATAGTATTTACAAGAATGTATATTTGTGAATTTATTTGAAAGGGAAAAAAATTGTGCAAAAAAAAAAAAAATCCTTAATGTGCAGGAGAACCAAAGCCTGGCATGTGCCAAGTTGTGAGAGGCTGCCTTAAATCCCTTTCAGAGGTCAGGAAACACCGTTGTTTTTTTTTCATTTATTTTGAGAAGGGCAGTCCTAAAAGACACAGAAAAATAGCCACAATCCGACGAGGCATTTCAGAAGGCTCTGGAACAATGGCAAAAACAACAGGTAAGGAGCAAAGTCTTGTTCCTTAGGATTGATGGAAAGCATATGGACTCAGAGGCATAGACAGGGCAGGCTTACTGGGCCAAACACCCGGCACCAATATGGTTGCAGGTGCACTATAAACATTTCACATTAGAATTTCAGGGAGGAGTGGCCAGATGAAAGGCAGACGGACACCCAGGGCCGCCGGATCTACGCAGCTCACCCGTGCCAACAGCTCCCACAATTACTCGAGGTTCTGACCTGGATCAACTTGCTGGCAAACTGGTTGACTTCGTTCACCCTCTCCTCGTGGGCTGCCAGATCCGTCTGGAACTCTTCAAACTTCTTCTGCAATACCTCCACGTGCTCGAGGTCCTGGCCCAGCTCCTCCGAGGTTACAATGGCCTCCTAGGAACGACAGCGACAATAGCTCGGTCAGCAGGAGAGGAGAGGAAAAGACGCAGGACAGCGGGTGCGTGAGTGCGGCCCTGCTCCTGGTGAGCTTTTAAAGGGTCTGAGAGAGTTCAGCCCTCTCTTCTGCAAGACAGCTGCATGTTGGGATAGGGCAGAGGTGCTGGAACCTGTGGCTCTGGAGTCGCATGTGGCTCTTTCATCCCTCTACTGCGGCTCCCTATCGATTGTCAGCTCCACAATCAATAGGCCTTTCGGTTAGGGCAGGTAGAGGAAAAAGGACGGCACGCTAGGAAAAGACTCTATGGTGGGGGAACTAGACTTCTGATCATCAGAGAAAAAAGGACACCGCACTAGAAGGAGACTCTATGGTGGGGGAACCGGACTTCCGGTTGGCTCCAGAATTGAACAGGGGGCTTCCAGTTAGGACCTTTGTGGCTCTTTGATTGTTTAAGGTTGCCGCCACCTTGAATTTAAGGTTGGAACATTAATTTTAGATAGCAAGCTGGCCAGATGTGCTATCGGAACAGCGAGGAAAGCATTGAATGGAAACCGAGTGGAGCAAGTGGCCAGTTTTAAGTTTCTGGGCGTTGTCATGAAGAGAGGACTTGGCCTGGGGCAACTCACATTGCAGCCCTGGTCAAAAGGGGCCAGCAGAGATGACACGATCTGAGACTACTCAGGGAAACAACTCAATGGAAAACTGCTGGTGACCTTCTACTGCTGCACTACAGGGAGTATTTTAACTTACTGCACCTGTGCATGGTTTGCCAATTGCATAGTGGCAGGTAGGACTGCGCTCCAGAGGGTCAACATCTAACCCTAACCCCCAATGATAACTCGAGCTGAAGCTGCCAACCAAAACGTGTATGTCCATGCCCCAAAGCACCGAAGACCAGCCAGTGAGTCTGCAAATACACTCTTATTGCCAAAAGTATTCGCACCCCTGCCTTTACTCGCCTATGAACTTACTGTCAGTGACCTCCCATTCCTAATCCATAGGGTCAATATGACGTGGGTCCACCCTTTGCATCTATAACAGCTTCAACTCTTCTGGGAAGGATGTCCACAAGGTTCAGGAGTGTGTTTATGGGGATTTTTGACCATTCTTCCAGAAGCGCATTTGTGAGGTCACGCACTGATGTTGGACGAGTTTACGTGGCCTACCACTTCGGGGCTGAATTGCTGTCGTTTTCAAACACTTCCACGTTCTTATAATACAGCTGACTGTTCACTGTGGGATATTTAGGAGTGAGGGAATTTCAGGACTGGGTTTGTTGCACAGGTGGCATCCGATCAGAGTTCCATGCTGGGATTTACTGAGCTCCTGAGAGTGGCCCATTCTTTCCCAAATGTTTGTCAAAACAGTCTGCATGCCTAGGTCCTTGATTTTATACACCTGTGGCCATGGAAGTCATTGGAACACCTGATTCTGATTATTTGGATGGGAGAGCGAATACTTTGGCAATATAGTGTACCAGTTTTGGGGCCATTTTTCGGGCTGTTTTCAGACCGTTTTCGGGCCTGAAAAAAAACAGCCCCAAAAGCAGCCTGAAAATGGCCCGATACAGGCCTGTTTCTCAGGCCATTTTCCAGGGCTCTGGTGCTCAGCTGGTTGGCATGCATGTGCCAGAAAGGGCTGTGCGTGCTACCTCATAGGTTCAACATCATGGCTTCGAGGTTAAAAAAAACACAAAGCCTTCGAGGTTAAAAAAAACACAACTTCTATGTCCAGCAAGGGCTGCTGAGGCAGAGACCTTGTCATTGATCCAATCCAACACATCTCTGCATTCTCGTAAGTACTGCACCAACTTCTGGGCGTGGCACAGCCTGACCCCTTTCTCTCGCATCTTCTCCAGAAGCAGTTCCCACATCCGGTGAAGCTCCTGCAGTCGACTCTGGGAAAGAAGGACAATAACAATGACTCAACTTAGACCAAAATAAAAAAATAAAAAAGGGTGCTCAAAGGAACTGATTTAACATGAATAAATTTTTTACTTCCGGCTGAGTTGTGCAGGTTCCCCGTAAGAAAAACAATAATGGCGACAGCACTTAAGACTTACATGCCGCTTCATGTCGCTTTGCTGTCTCTAAGCGGTTTACAGAGCCAGCCTATTGCCCCCACAATCTGGGTCCTCATTTGACCCAAGAACAATGGGAGGTTAAATCAACTTTTGAGATGGTCAGGATCGAACTGACGGCAATGGGCAGTACTGCAATACTGCATTCTAATCACTGTGCCATCACAGCTCTTAGATACGAGACAGAGTTAGAGATAGAGATGAGATATGTGATAGACAGACAAGACATAGAAACAGATAGAAATAGCATTTAAAGACTTATATACCCCTTCACAGTCCTTTGCAGCCCCAAGAGGTTTAAAGTCAGTATATTGACCCCAACAATCTGGGTCCTCATTTTACTGACTTCGGAAGGATGGAAGGATGCATCTACCTTGAGCTGGTCAGGATTGAACTGACGGCAATGGGCAGAGTTAGCCTGCAATACTGCATTTTAATCACTGTGCCATCACGGCTCTTAGATACAAGACAGAGTTAGAGATAGATAGATGATAGACAGGCATAGAAATAGAGAGATAGTAATAGCATTTAAAGACATATACTGCTTCACAGTGCTTTACAGCCCTCTCTAAGCAGTTAACAGAGTCAGCCTATTTCCCCCAACAATCCGACTTTTCATTTGATTGACTTCGGAAGGATGGAAGGCTGAGTCAACCTTGACTCAGGATTGAACGGCTGGTAGTGGGCAGTGTTAGCCTGCAATACTGCATTTTAATCACTGTGCCAACATGGGTGATAGATTATAGATAGATAGATAGATAGATAGATAGATAGATAGATAGATAGATAGATAGATAGATAGATAGATAGATAGATAGA